GGAAGTCCCTTGAACAGCAATCTGGAGTCCCAGCTGAGAAGGTCCCGGGCCGTGCGTCCACCCCTCGGGTGAGACTTCAGTTTGCCACTCGAAGGAGCCCAGCTTTTAGCACCAGGCCGCAGGCCGCTAACAATCAGCCTACTTGCAGGTTTGCAGCTCTGGTTGTTGTCATAAATGCCTTGGTCTTAACTCATAAGTTTTGGAATGTTCTTGATCCCCAGGGGCTGGCCAGACCCTCAAGGTGAAAGAAGTCCCATGACTTACGCTCTATCTTATCTAGGGGTTTATTATTGATTCTGGCCTGGGTGTAGCTCAGCAGTTAGGCATGCAGTCAGCTTTAGCATCATTATCCAGTCGCCTCTGAAGCCTGAACAAGACTACTTTACTAGCTTCCCCAACAACGGACTCTATTAATAAGTGAAAAAATTAGATAAATCAGTGTTAGACAAGGAAAGAATATTGGCTTTGAAATGCAATTGAACTTATTGAAGCCTCTGAGTGAGGTTCTCTGAGGTGATAGCAAATTGGCTGGCTCCTTGTCTACTGGCCACGTAGTCGAATGGTCGCAGGGCTGACACCTGACCCAAAATGGGCTAAAAGGTTGCTCATGCTTTGGAACATTAAACTTGAACTGTGAGACGTAGAAGTTGTTGGGCTTAAACCTGGTAACTGTGGTGCTCTAAAAAAAAGGATCATGGAATTTCTACAACCATAATCCCAGAAGCTGTCCTTATTCCTGCAGTTCCTCAATTTTTCATTTCAGCTCTATCTTAGATTGCATGAACTAGTTCAGTATTTTTCCAACAGATGTCTTTGTGCTTAAGTTAGCTAGAATTGGCTTTTGGGTTGCTTGCAAGCAAAAACAAAAAATTATATGACGCTTTGAGGTCAATTTCATCTCATTTTAATTCTCATCTAATCAAATATGCCAGATATTTTGATAGGAGAGATAGAGTGGTGAATGAGATGTACATGATTCTGCTTACGGAGCTTTTAGTCTATCAGAGAAAATAGACACTGACAAAATAATTAAAGTATGGAAATAGAAGGGTTTCATTCATTCATCAAACACATATTTACTGAGCCTCTATTAGATATAAAGCATTGTTCTAGACCCTTGGAACATCAGTTCAGAGATCCCTGCCCTGGTATCTTCCAGCAGTGAGAGGCCCGCGTACCACAAAAAAAATAATTAATAAAGCTAAAAATACATAAATAAATAATGTGGATTTAGGAGGTGATAAGTGCTGTGGGAAAAGAAATCAAAAAGTAGATCGGAAAGAATCATGCATACATCAAAAGGCTTAGAGTCCAGAGAGAAAAAGCAGGTTAGAGAAACTGAATTATTATTAGTGCTGAAATATTGGCAAAAAGGCCAATGGCTCAAAAAGAAGATGAAGTTAGCCAGAGTTAGCCAGAGTATATTGTTAAGGACTTTATAAGCCATTTTGAGGATTTTGAACTTTATCCTAAGGTAATCCAAAGCCACTTAAGAGTTTTAAGGGGCTGACCATGATCACATTTGCAATTTAAATTTATCATTGTTCCTCCAACCTGGAAAACCCATTGAAAGCAAAGAGTAGTGGATGGGAGAGAATAATTAGGATGTGGCTGTCCCAGTCCAAATGAGAAATGGTGATACCCTTGACTAACATGTGTTTCTTGAATTGGAAAATGGTAGCTGTGTTTAAATGGCTGATAACGAGACTTAGATTCTCAGCTTATCATATTTAGAGTAAATTAATGCCTGTTCAGGTTTATCTTCTGTTCTTTGAGCTTTGATGCTGTTTGCCAACTTGAAATGTTGACCACTTTTTCACTGGCTTCATACCTACCAAGTTTAGTTATGCCTCGTCTTTGGGAACAAAAATATATTATTAAATGACTATTTAAGGAGCTATGGCAGCCACAGGACAAGCATTGATTCTGCTCACTTGCATCTATACCTAGCTAGCCACCTATTGTCCTCAAATTCTGAGAGAACCAATACAGGGTACAAGCAAACCAAGTATATACAACTCCTTTATTAACAGGGTCTTTTCCCTAAATTCTTTTTTTTTTTTTTAGTATTTGTTTAAGGATCTCTTTGTTTTTCTTTTTTTTTTCTTTCTTTTATTTTTATTTTTTTTCCCTAAATTCTTGTATTCTTTTCTTTCCTAGTGAGCTAGTATAGATGCTGTAGGCGAAAACCACATGCTCCCATTACCATTCCACTATTAGGTCTTGATCAAGGTTTATATACTTGTAAGCAATAGGTCATTTGGCCCTCATAATTCGTTAGGACATCTTGTTATGCTCACTATGTTTTTTAAAGGCTGTGAAACTAGACAGGTGTTTCGCTTGGTTGCTGCACGAGCCATTTAGCACTTAACCAGTTTCATGGGTATAAGTTAAAGTTATGCCCACTTGTAATTATTTGAATGTTTAATTTCCAGCATAGATACTAATCCCACCTTAAACAGTCAGTTCCTTTGTCCCTTTGACCTGGGAATAGCTCAGGCTCTTTCAGTCTCAAAGATGTAGACAGAAATTACAGCCAACCTTCAACTCCATTGCTTCAAGTCTTGCCAGTACAAATGTAATAACAAAGGGCAAAGAGACTTTTGAATTCCCTCATCATCCCTCCAAAAATTTCCCCTCTCGTGCTTGAGGAGGTGAGAAAGGAAGAGAAGAGTACCACGTACCACATTTTGCCATGTTTGAATATAGTTTCCTTTGGGCCTGTTGGGTATCCTTGAGAAATCTGCCTTTCTTAAGGAAGCTGGGGGAGGTCAGATGGGAAAGTAGAGCTTAAGGACATGGTTTTTAACTGTTCCCATTGCAATATCTTATTATAAAAATGTACTTTTTAAACATGGATTTCCTTTTTGTATTATTTTGTCTTGGTGTCTCTCCCTCATGAATTACTTTGCATCTTGTTTGAAGTGAACAATTTTAAAATTTATATCCTGTCCTACTTTTCTTTCAGGAACTTTACTTAAAATATCTGTTTTTCTCTCCACCCTCTCAGATATGCATGAACATCTTATGCATTTCACACTCTTTAAGATGGAGAAAATAATAAGCTAATCTGAATAGTGGTGAAATCGGTCAGAGTAGAGATTTTATTCTCAAAAGAATAGACAGTGTAGTGTCGTCTTATTGCTATCAGTTATCTCTATTGTTAATATAAGTCGTGAAAAAGACATAAATTAGTAAAACAAGGCAGTAGAACATGAATTTGCAGGTTATTCTCAATTCCATGCAGCCCAGCATAGTGGATGCTTGCTCCTTGGGAGCAGGTAACACATTCTACTCCTTTTTGTATCCCCTACTCCGCCCAAGGAGGCAAGCATATGCATACCAGTTACTAAACACGTGAATAGATGAGTAGAGTAAGTTGAAATTAATGATACTTAACAGACATCTAATACTGTACTTATAGAATTCACACCAGTGACGGACCAAGAAGATTTTGACTAGGAATTGAGTGCTGGGTTATATAACTCTCTAGGGCTGGTGTGTGGACACACCCAAGGAAGGAAAAGTCCAAGGAAGGAGAAGTCCAAGGAAGGAGCTACTGGAGAACAGACTAGAAATTAGACAAATGGCCCTCCAATTTGAGGATGTATCAGAATCACCTGGAGGGCTTCATGAAGCAGAGTGCTAGGCCCTACCCTCTGGGAGTTTCTGATTCAGTAGATCTGGAACGAGGCTTGAGAATTTGCATTTAGGGGCTTACCTGGTGGTGCAGTGGTTGAGAGTCCGCCTGCCGATGCAGGGGACACGGGTTCGTGCCCCGGTTCTGGGAAGATCCCACGTGCCGCGGAGCGGCTGGGCCCGTGAGCCATGGCCGCTGAGCCTGCGCTCCGCAACGGTAGAGGCCACAGCAGTGAGAGGCCCGCGTACCGCAAAAAAAAAAAAAAGAAGAGAGAGAATTTGCATTTCCCTCCCAGGTGATGCTTATGCTGCTAACCCCAGTAGCAGACCTTGAAAACTACTGAATTAAAATTTGGAAAACTCGCCCAGCTAAGGGGACCTGGTCAGGCTGCCTGCTCTGTGATCTGCACAGAGAAGGGGTTATTACAGAGATTTCTGAGGGCAGTGCCTAGATAATGTAACTAAGAACTCAAAAGAGAGTTAAAATCAGCTGACATAATGAGATGGAAGATAGAATGCATGGAATCAATTTAGCAATACTTTCAGCTAAGTTAAATTAATTTAACAATGTAAGACCATCACATATATCTAAGCTAATTTATATATAAGTTATTCCTGAAAATATTCTTACACTGCAAGGAAAGTTTATGCCCTTCAGCTGACTGTGTATATGTCAAGGTAAATGGGGAAGGTAGAGAAAGGGCAGCTCAAGGAAAGGGGAAAACCCATTCATCCTAGAGAAAGGATTTAGGAGAAACCGTATCCACTACCCACACCTCACTCTTCCCACCCAACTAGTGCTACGTCCCAACTAACTAGCCTTAGGAGGTTTCCGAAACAGTAGCAGCAGCTTCAGCAACCAGGTGTCATAGGGACATACTTCACCTTATTGTAATATTTCAATGGAAACTACCTAAAATTTAGACCTGATTTCATATAGTGCTCAGCTAATTAGGTTTCTTACATTTTAAAACTTGAGTACGAAGTTTTTGCATATTTACATGTGTTCCTTCCAGCAATCATTTAGGACTTTGGGGAACATTGGCGTTTATTTTTCGATACAGAATCTTATGGACTTAGGTGGATTTTCTCAATTTGCCAACAAAAAGGAATAAAGGTATTGCATTAAAATGAACTATGTCTAAAAAAGTTGATACATTTTGGTAAGCAAATGGTCAACTGCTCATATTTAATTTAATTTTTGTTAATTTGAAAATGTTTTTTAAAAAATTGCTTAGTGATCCTTTCAAGGGAAAGCTCAGCTCATGTATAAAAAGCCACATAAAAATGACTCCGGGACCTTGGCTGCACATCCAGCGGTCAGATATTTCAATGCTTCGTTGCTCCCGTTCCTGCTACAGGTACATGTGACAGTGCTGCAGCGATGAGTGGAATTTTAAAGAGGAAGTTTGAAGAAGTTGACGGCTCCTCCCCCTGCTCCTCTGTGCGGGAATCAGATGATGAAGTTTCCAGCAGTGAAAGTGCTGACAGTGGGGACAGTGTCAATCCATCCACTTCTAATCATTTTCCCCGTGAGTATGGAAACTATACCTGAAACCGATTGTCTGCTTCTACAGTGAAAATAATTGTATCATCTTGGTCATTTTTTAACTTTTATTACTAGTTTGTTTTTGTTTTTACAGTTGAGCTAAAAACAAAACATGATTAAGTAAAAATGAAATATTTCTGAGGCATCAGTGGGTTCCTTTATTTAGAATGCTTTTGGGAGTGGATTATTTGATTGTGTTAACCAACTGATTCAATGGAAAAAATGACATTTTATTATTATTACTTTTCAAAGGAAGCACCCTACTCCAACAGTAGATGGGGAAGGACAAGTCCAGGCACAAAAATATGTATCCTCCCATAGCTGAAATGATATTCTAGGAGGAAAAAAAAAAGTGGGGAGGATGTATTTGGCAGTGGAAGTTCTAGGTTCAGTGGGAAAGAGCATAGCCAACCATGCGTTAAGAAATGAAAAAGCAGCAAAACTCTCCCAAGTGTGCGAGTGCAGTGTATACCTCTTTTCCACTCATCCCTTTATTCTCTTATCCTTAAGAATAATATTTAAAGCCCACAAAGAAAAAAAAGGTGTACGCTTTCTCTTTTTCCTTTTTCTGCCACACTGTAACATCACTCCTTCCTGTCAGACAAGGTGAGGTTTGAAGGACTGACAGGAAGATTTTGTAAGGAAATACAATCTACAGGCTAAAGGAAACTGACTATTAATAGCTAAATAATCTTGAATTTATATTTACAACAGGAAGATTTTAATATATTATGATATCATGATAGATAACTAGTCTTAGTTTTTTTATTTTTCAGTTAAGTAGCTGATTTTATTAATATGTGATTCCATAACATAAAATTTATTTTGGAAATGTGACAACGCGGAAAACCAAGAGAATTAACCATATTTTTAAGAGGTAATAAGGAACTCAGTAAAACTATTGAACACAAAACAAACATACAAAATAGACAGCATTCCTTTAAGCAAGCAAAATTAATAGAAAATATAATGAAAGGGCAACTACACTTATTATAACAGGAAAAAATCATCAAATATTCAGGGACAAGGTTATTGTGTGATGTAGGTGATCTTCAAATACATTTACATATATCATTATGATGTGAAATGAGCTTGTGTTTTGATTCAAAAGAAGATATATGTTTACCTATTTGGCCTTAATATTAACAGTGATAATAACAACAACATCATCATCTGACAGGGTTCTGTGAAGATCAAAGAGCAAGTGAGATAATACATATGAAGGAACTTTATAAAATGTCAAGTACTAAGCACATGTTATATTAAAAATTATTCTCATAGCTAACATTTACTGGGTACATGCTGTGATTCAGTAGTTTTATATACATTATTCCTATTCTTTATAGCAATCCTGGAAGTACCATTACTTTCAGTTTACGAAGGAAATGACTGAGGATCAAAGAGGCTAAACATCTTGCCCAAGATCACACAGGATTAAAGCCTAGACATACATATATACACACACACACACGTATATATATGTCCATATATTTATGTGTTCCACCCCATAGCTTTCACCTTTTCCATTATCTCACTCTGCCCTTTAGTTATGTAATATTGGACATATCTTTAAAATGTGATTTATTGTGAGTTAGAAAAGAATACTGGAATTAATGAAGAGACAGGTTATGTTTCTGGTAAACATTTATAAAGGTAAATCTGTTAAAGCTTTCCACATTAATTTATGAATATAAAAGGATAATCTCAATAAAACCCTCAACTGGATTTTCTTAGAAGGTGATGGAATAATAAAAATCCATTTGGAAAAATAAGCTAATGAGAATAAAGGGATATTTTTTAAAAGAAGCCATAAATGTTGAAAAGCCACTCCAGATATCAAATAATAGTAGAAAATTATATAGTTTAACATTTTCGGTACCATGTTAGATCTAGGAAAATAGAGAAAATCTCAACATAGTATAGATAAGAATTTTTTATATATATATGTATATATATATATATATATATACACACACACACAAGTGTATATGAATAGGGCATTATAAAACAATGGGAAAAGGAGTATTTAATAAATGGTTTTGGTATTAGAGTTTGAAAAAGAAAAATTTAGATAACACATCTCACAACATTGCCAAAATACATTTCAGATGGATTAAGTAGACAAATATTTTTAAAAATCAAATCACAGGGGAAGTTTCATATTTGGTAGGATTGTTATCTGAGTGTTGAAGTAACATAAAAAAGTTACACTGCAAAATACTTAACATATTTATATAAAAATATTAAACATACCTGATCCCCAAAAATCCCAAAGTAAAATAATCTATGTTGGAAAAAAAATATTTGCAGTTAATATGGTAAAGCGTTACTGTCTGAATAGCGAATAAAAAAACACATAAATTTTTATATTAAATTAAGATACACACCCCCAAACATAATCTACATGATAGGAAATATGATTAGCAAATATTTTGAAGCATTTAACACCAGTAGTAATAACAACACAGATTAAAATAATACTAATGAGATTTCATTAGTATGAAATCATGGAAATTTCATCTCCTTGAAATTAGTGTTCCTCCCTTCAACAGAAAATACTAATACCTAAGTGCTGGTGAAGGTCGCAGTACAAATTTTGCATACACCCATATTGCTTTTGATGGCAATGAAATTTATAAAAGTGTCTGTTTAGCACTTTGGAAATATAAGAGCCATAATGATATTCATATCTATAAGTCTGTACTTCAGAATTTATCTGAAGGGGGAAACATCAAAAACATGGGGAAAAGTGCATAACTGAAAATGTTGGTTCTTGAGGGAAATAACAAAAAATGGGAACTGGGGCAGGGAAGAGGAAGGTAACATGTCTAAGAGTGGGGAAATGATGCATTAAGTTATGGTAGCTTATACAATTAATTAATTTACATGATAGGTATGAAGACAGGAGATAATGTTAAGAAAAGCAGAACACAAAATTTTACCTACACTGTCAGGGAAAGTCTCTGTATCATAATGGCAAAGAATGGTAAGGTGCTTTAAAAACTGAAAACGATTTGATTTGTTGAAGTATTAGAATGATAGATTAATTTTCATATTTATTAATTTTTATTTCAGTTAATATTTATACATCCCACAACAAAGAAATTTTAAATTTAAACTAAAATGATAACTGTAGTTCTGATTGTGTTTATGTAAGCAAATGACATGATCAGCTAAATCATGCAATACTTCAGCTAACTAGTAAAGGGTTTTTATGAGTTATGTCCAACAGATGTTATTTTTCCTATTGAAGAAAATAGAAATATTTTGTGATGCCCAAGAATTTATTGAAATTTTCAACTCATTATTTATTATCAGTGGTAGTTGGCAATGGTTAGTTTATGAAATTGCTGATTTAACTTTGTATTAAATGAAATCTGGTGGAGATTTTTCATGATTTTTAAAGATAATTAAATGATTGATTTAATAAAAAGTGCCTTTTTGATTTAATAGTCTGTTTAGTTCACCATATTCACATTATAGAGAAGGAAAAAAAGAAAAAGAGAAAAAAACCCCAAAAATCAAAAAACAAAAATTCTCCCTCAAATATTTGCTGTATAAAAGATCTGAACATGTTAACCAATGTAAAAGAAATAGTTTAAAAGATTTCTTGTTTCTAGAAATGTATTTCAGATTATTTGCTAGCCCCAAATTGATGCACAAATTTTTATAAAATGTTTTATTTATTTTTTCAGCTAAAGTACAGTGATCTTATCTGCATATGAATCTATGAACATACATTTTTAGAAATATTGTTATTGATGAATCTTATTTCTTTAATATATTTTTCTGCTTTCAAGAAAAAAAGTAGTTACCTTAGAGTAAAAAAGGATTTTTGATGACTATCAAATTTGTATAGTATTAGGAAACCAAATTTAGCTTCACACTGAGATCTTTTAAGATACAGTTATTTAAATCTCACTCATCAAGAGCTCATCTTTCAAGTTTAAAATGTCAGATGCACTCAGTGCTTTATAAGCATTAACATATTGTATAACATAACATTTTGTTATCATTGCAAATATAGGAATTGATAAAACTGTGTGGTACAAGTCAGCAGCTATGGTAGTAGAAAATTCCATCTATCCTAAGCTTTCTATAAGCTAGCTTCGAAATATAAATCAGTAAAGGCATATGGCTTTTACCTTGGACTTTTGAGTTTTGCTAGGCAACTAGCATACTTACCAGCAATGAACCAAGGTCATATCTTATACTTCCCTTGAGATAGAAGTAGCTGGATTCTGTATTGCTGTGGAACACTTTGTTTCATCAAATCCCTGTGGCTCTATAGCCAATCAGCCTGTACTTGAGCGCTGTCAAAAGGAGAGCTACAGAGAAGCTGGAATGATTTTTTTTTTCTGCCCTCTCAAGGTTCCTGGCACTTCACACGAGTAATGAGAAGCTGTATGATGAAAGGAACACATTTTTCCTGAAACAGAGTGTTTCTACAGATAAATATATAGTATTTAGGAAGTGGAAATATCAAAAGGCAAAATGATAGGTATTCTAAATTGCACACGAAAACAGGTAGTGTATGTCTTATATAGGGATAAGAGTTTCTAATTTACACTTTCACATTCTTGGGTTCATTTGATATCCTAAAGTTGTTGTGTGATTAGGAGCCATTATTGTACCCATTTTATAAAAGTAGAAATTAACATTCAGAGATATATTATTAATTTATCCAATGGCTGAGATTTTAATCTGTTTTCCTCCCTCCTTCCTTCCTTTCTTTCTTACTTCCCTCTCTTTTCTCTCTGAATAAACAGGCATAAATACGCTGCCATGTACACCCAAGTCACAGTCTTCCTCCAATGTCATTTCCCTCACAATGACTGCACATTTCATAGTGGGATTAGAGACAAAAAATCAAAAGAAATCAGATCTTGACATGAAACTTTGTAGTGGAAGTATGACCGAAACATATCTATTCTCTTTACAGAGCAGTTAAAATGCATTGAAAATCTAGATTCAGTTTTGACA